CACAGGAGGCTCCTTTGGGACTGGTGAGGGTGACGGAGGCCAAACGCTCAAAACCAGGACCCACCCTGGAAAGGGTGCATCCAGCAGGCAGGCAGGGGGCACCTGGACCTCCTAACAGCGGGGGGCCGGCACGTGAGCATCCGAGAGAATGGTGTCAAGCGAGTGGATGCTTCTCGGGTTTGTTGGAAGCCGGAGGGAGCTTTCCAGTTTGCATTCCGCAGGTGGGGCACCGCGCATCTCCAGCTCTGTTGGAAGGAGGGAACGGGTGTGTCTCTGTTCTCATTGAAGGTCCCCCGTGTGGCGTGGATGCCACGCAGTTCAGGCTGCTGGGACAGTTCCGGGTCGCTCTGAGGAACCAGATAAAGTGACAGCAAATGCTCATCTTCCTGGAGGCTCAGAGGATCTGCTTTTTGTCGAAGCAGACGCTGAGGTCCCACCAGTCTAGACGTCGGCTTCCTGCTTGGCCTGCCCTCTGTCCAGCTGTCACCTGAGCTGCATGTCACTGGGAGGCCGTGGCCTGTTAGATTCATGTTTTATTTAAGAGGCCGTTCGACTTCACCAAGGCCTTCCTCTGGCCGTCTCTCATCCGGGCCTCCAGCTGACTCCGCAGAGAACCTGGAAGTCAGGGCTAAGTCAGGGCCAAAGGGCGGCTTGAAACCAGGCTCCTCGTGGGGACACAGAGCCATCCGGGGAGCCCCGGTAGTGAGGGTCGCCCCCAGTAGCCCGGCCCCCGGTGCTCAGAGGGTGTGGTGTGGCCAGATTTCCACCCACTTGGGTGTTTCCTGTGGCTTCACACTGTTCACTTTTTCATGCGCACTCAGTGTCTGTCAGTACATTCACGGCTCAGTGGAAGAACCTGACCTTGGAGACCAAACTACATTCGGGTTGCGTGACGAGGTCGTGGGCCGCATGGGCAGCCTCCTGCACGTTAGGCTCCTGCCCTGGCACACGCCGTCACGGAGGATGCGTGGGCGGTGCCGAGGGTTTGCCCGGTGACGGCGCGGCCAGCAGCACCGCTGTCTTATTTTGGAAGTCACCTCATTCCTCTTTGTCCCCAGCTCCAGTTTTAAGCCACGAGGTCCTCGCTGTTCTCCGTTCCCGCTGTTTTTGCCCGGCTAGCCCTCAGTCGGGGCTGAGTGGGGTGGGGTTGATTGCGTGCGGGTGAGGTCGCAGATGCCTCCGAGTGGTGGCACTGCAGAGCTCAGCTCGGCTGGCCTCGGTGCCCCTTGTGTGGAATTGGAAACCAGAAAGCTCCCTTCAGGCCTGAGAGCAGGGGCTTCACCTGGGAAGGTGAGGAGAGAGGACACACAGCAGCACGGGGACAGATGAGATGTCCGGCTGGGACTGCAGCCCTGTCAGCAGCCTGCATCACCGGAGGAAGAAGCAGCTCCCAGGGAAGAAACTGGTGTTATCCAGGTGAGGCAGCAAGAAGGCCAGGTGGCCAGAAAGCCACTAATGCCTCCCCGGAGACCTGCTCTTTCCCGCTCGGAATCCGTGAGGCCTTTGGGCTCGGTGTTCACTGGACGACTGGCCACTCTTAACAAAACTCCGGCAACTCCGCCTGGCGACGTCTTTGGTTTCCACCGAGTGTCTCTCATTTCACAATTATTTCTGTGCAGCTACAGCTCTGAGCAATCCCAGGCTCAGGGACGAACGCTGGAGCTGTCTTCCAGCTGGCACACTGCGTCCCCTCTGTTGAGCAGGTCCCAGCTTGTGCAGAGGCCGGCCTGGACCAGCAAGTGATTGACACCAGGGGCGGCGCCAAGCTTTCGCCCTGCACAGTTGATGCTGGACAGGTTGCCAAGAGTGATGCACTGATTTATTTTTCGCGATGTCCAGTTGCAGCTGGAATTGTCGTGAGGGAGATGGGGCGACTTCGTCGATGGGAATAGTCACTTTGACTAGAGGGCCACCGAGACCCTCTGACCCTCATGGGCAGGCGCTTTGCTCAGACTCCGCTGGGTTCCTGGCACTGAGGCAGCTGTCATTATTCCTGTTGCTCCTTGGTGTGCCGTACGTGGTCGCCTTTGGTTCCGTCTCCCTGACTGTGAAACGGACACGGGAGGGACACTGGGATTCCTGTCAGCCCTGGGGCTTGAGTGATGTCGAGTAATTGGCGGCCTAGCGCTCGACCACACACCTCAGTTTTCAGTGACTTCTCATTAAACATCGTGCCTCGGCTTTCTCACCAAATTCCCCTTACTGTGGAGGAAATGGGACGGTCCCTTCAAGCCCGGGGGGCCAGCCCCTGCGTTGGTACCCCATTTCCCATAGTCAGAAGGTGATCTGTCATCTTAACATCTATGGATCCTAATCCGTAACGTGTCAGTTATGTTCTAACATCCTCAAAGTCGATCAAATTGTCAGAAGCGCTGGAAGATGCATCGACGTGGGATGGAAAGTGTCTGCACCTTCATCTCGGCCGTTTCTTGGGGCCTTCTGGCCCCTCCGACTCCGACTCCAGCAAGACCTCAGGGCCAGCCAGTTCTGGGCAGCCTGGCTTGAATTTAACTGGACTCGCCTGTGTGCGGTGGACACGTCCCTCCTGGGCCTGAGGGAGCACGTGTGGCATGGTCTCTCTTCGTGGAAGCAGACCGCGGCCGTGGCCTAGCTAAGCTTTCTCTTATCCTCAGTGCGGGGGTCTTGTGTGGCCCCTTAAGAGCCTGGTCCCCAGCAGCCCTACTCTGGGCTCCCTGCACCGCACGCAGGACATGTGATTCTGCCCACTTCCGCCACCCACCCCGTTGTCCCCGCTCAGCATCCAGCTCTGGCTACGTTCTTCTTGTCCAGTCTGGATGAGGGCAAAAGCTGGGTTTCGCCAAAGAGAAAGGGACCCAAGTCAAGGAGGGAGGCAATCGCTAGGCAACCTGGAGTTTGTTTCCCAGGTAACGGATGTGTGCGCTGATGCCGTAGATGGACATCTCGTGACAGCCCCTCAGCCTCTCCAGATGCTGTGATGGCCCGAGATGCCTGCCTTCCGCCTGCTGCCCCTTCCTGTGTGGTTGCTTTTCCGTTAACCACCTCGATTTCTTATCATGATCCTGAACTCTGCAAACATCGTGCGACTGAGTGTCATGCCAGCACCCCCGGGAGTCAGGTTGGGGTGCTCCTCACCCTGTGGGAGGAGCAGTCCAAGACTGCCAGTCCCGTGGGAGTCGGACCCTGGGCTTTGTGGCAGGTGGGGGAGGGGAGAGAGAGCAGCAGTGGGGGCCCCTGGTCCCCCCAGTACCGAGGATGTTGGAGTCAGCTCTCTTGGATGCCTGCTTTGGGCATTGGGGGCCTGGGGAGACAGTAGGAGCTCGGCTGCCACTCACTGGCTGGGAGGGGCCGTGATTGTTTGGGAGTCACAGCCCATGATGGCAGAGGCCACTGTGCAGCAGCCATGTGGGCAGCTCGGGCCACACCCCCTCACCATGTGCAGTGCAAGTGAGCGCTTGGCTCCTCGCTCCAGAGTGCAGCCGACTGGGCGGTGACCCCGGGGTCAGGCTCTACCCAGTGGCCACTTCAGGGCTGCCCGGGCGGGACCCCTTTGGGTGGTTCCAGGCCGTACCGGCAGGCACAGCCTGGGCCAGCAGCTCCCGTCCTTGTCTGTCACCGTGCAGCCACACAAAGGCTTGGTGGCCCAGGGACATGACATGTTCCTGGCAGGGGCCACGGGAGCCCAGTCGAGCGAGGCAGCCGCCGTAGGGAAGGACAGGTCGATTCTGTGAGAGCCAAGCCCCGGCCAGGGCCCCCGGGCGTCCGGAGGCTTAAGGTGTGCGCAGAGCCATCTCATCCTCACTCGTGACCCACGACACTAAACTAAACGTTTCCAATTTGACGAGACACGCGGGGCTGTCCCGTCCTGGCCATCGCGATGGCCAAGGTCCCTCCTGGAGCCCGGGGCTGGTCCTCACGGCCACAGTGGGTCATGATGATGTGACGTGGGATTGGCCATCGGGAGGGGCCGTGGGACCCCGGACCTGCCAGCGTGAACTTGGAGGGAGAGGTCAGGTGAGGACACTGTTGCTCACACCGGTGGTGGGGGGGACGTGCGGGGCCCACGCTGCCTCCCAGGCCGGGGCATCCCCCCCCCGCGAGTGAACCCCTGGTGGCGTGGCCACCTTGGGACTTGTCCACTCCATGATGTGTCCACCTTGCGGGCCGTCCGCGTGGCTGAGGGCTGACACTCCGCGGCTCGGGCCGCATGCAGAGGGGGCCGGCCTGGCCGTGCCCGGGCTGTGGGGACAGTGTCCTTTGTCGGTGTGACCGCTCCGGTCCCTGCGCCTGACGAGTGTGGCCCACTCATACCACGCAGTGGGGACCAGCCCAGGCGAAGGGAGCTGAGCCCGGGGCCCTGGTTCTACCGGGGGTTCCCCCAGAAAGCCCTCTTGGTACTGACGCACCCCCCGTCTCGTTGACCCCCCTCGTGTATGTTGGAGGACGGTGGTGCCAGCAGGTGCAAGGAGGCACAGCCCACCCCCAGCGTCGGGGAGCTGTGCGCCCCGAAATGTCCCTGGAGGACCCCAGGCCTTGCTCTGGTCTCGGGGTGGCGGGCGGTCCCTCTGTCGGCCCCAGGGGCAGCAGCAGTTACGGACTTGAGCAGATTCCTCGGCCCAAGTTCCACGTGGCGGTGGCTCTACCGTGGCTCCTGTCGGTGACCAGTGAGGTCGTCGAGGCCCAGTCCCCACCTGGACCTTCAGCCCCAGCGGGCCCAGCAGGCAGCACCTGTCCCACAGTCAAGTGCACTGCACGGATGTCCCTGCTCGGTCTCCTTGGCTCGTCCCAGAGTCTCCCCTGACGGCTCCTGAGTGGCGGTGGTCTGGAGCCCGGGGGAGCCAGGGTGGGAAGTTGCCGTGGAGACACTTGGGGTCCTGCGAACCCAGTAAGTGTGAGGATGGGCTGGGACGGGGGCCCCTCGTTGGGACCGCGGCAGAGGGAAGAGACTGGCCGCTTGTCACGCTGCCCCTGTGTGTAGGACAGGCCCCTTCTCCCGCCCACCGAGTCCTCCCTCCTCACAGGCATCCGCCCCCAGATCATGAACGGCCCCCTGCACCCCCGCCCCCTGGTGGCACTGCTGGACGGCAGAGACTGCACCGTGGAGATGCCCATCCTGAAGGACCTGGCCACTGTGGCCTTCTGTGACGCACAGTCCACGCAGGAGATCCACGAGAAGGTGGGCGCCCCCTCCCCCACAAGGAAAAGGCCCCCCACGTCAGGTGGCAGCAGCTGGCACTTGGAGCATATGCCCTGCCATCCCGCCGGTCCCCTCCTGCCCCTCCCTCAGGTCTCCCCCTGGCTAGTCACTCTCACCTTCCCCCGGACGTCACCTCTCAGGCCTCCCCGTCTCTCTCTCCCCATCATGTCACCAGCAGGCCCCCAAAGTGCAACCACAGGCCACTCGTCCGGGGGTGGGGGGGACTGTCATAGCCAGACCCCGTCCTCAGCTGGCCATTCTCCTGCCAGAACCTCCTGCAGGCTCGGGGTGCTGGGGGCCTCCAGCCCGTGCTCTGCTCACGCCCCGCAGGTTTTAAACGAAGCTGTCGGCGCCATGATGTACCACACCATCACGCTGACCAGGGAGGACCTGGAGAAGTTCAAGGCCCTGAGAGTGATCGTGCGCATTGGCAGCGGCTTCGACAACGTCGACGTCAAGGCCGCCGGCGAGCTGGGTGAGTGCGGGGGGCCTTCCTGTGCCAGCGCGTGGCGTGGCTCCGTGTGCACGGGGCATTGCAGGGGTTCAGAGAGCCAAACGTCAGCAGCAGGGGTCCTGGGCCCCCCGCTTACCGTGACGGGCCAGGCCGGTCCTTGCGGACGAGCCGTCTGGTCACCGTGTCTGGTTCTGATACGCGGCAGCCCTGTACCTGCGTGTGTGGGCTGCACTCTGCCTGGTGAGCACTTGGGGCCCTGAAGCCACGAGGCTGCTAACAGGTACCTCAAAACCACAGGAACTCAGGCTTTTTACAGCCCCCAGCCCTGGGCTGTGCCGGTGGGCCTGACGGCAGCCTGGCTTGGTCTGCAGGCCACCGGACTGTCCCCGCCACAAATGCCCCTACTTCCCCCCACACCCCCCCGTTAGCCTTTCAGCCCACCAAGGCCCCCCATGGGCCCCGTACTCCAGGGGAGGCTGGCTCGGCGTCACACCTGAGTGAGCGCGGGGCGCATCTGATGCCCAGGACCTCCCAGCTGCCGCCTTTTCAGACGGGAACCCCGGGGGGCTCCAGCTTCCTCCTCCGAAGTCCCAGCCTGGGGTTTCGAGTGCGGGTTCGTGGTTTTAGTGGTTAGTCCCCCCACTTGAATTCGGATGCATCTTGTGGGCAGGAGTCAGGCAGAGGGAGCCGGACCTGGGGCCTGCAGACTGGGGCTGAGTCTGGTCTGATTCTCTAAGATGGTGCTGGGTGCTCTGCACAGTGATAGGTGGTCTGCGTATGGCGACAGGCGGTCGGGGTCAGCCTGCAGGCGAACCCCGAAGAAGGCAGGAGGCGGGCATTTCCCCATGGGGAAGCGGGGAGCTGTGGGGAGCTGTGCGGTGAGTGGCTCAGAGGGAGACGTGGTTTGTCTGGGTCCCCACTGGCCAGGCCCTGTCCCCTCAGCCCTGCTCTGGGTGGAGGGGCGATTTGGCCGTGCACAGGAGAGGGGGTCGCGCCAGGGGTCTGGGGAAGGGGCGCCCCCCGCCTCCCCAGCACGCCGACTCCCGGGAGGACACTCGGGAAGATGCGACCTGACGGGAGCGAAAATCTCCCCTTTTTCCCTGGCACCAGCGAGAATGTTTCTGTTCAACAACAAATGTCCTTTGTGCTCTCGGTGAAGCCGAGACCCGCGTTCAGACGGCTCCGGGCGCGGTGTCCCCAGCGCACCCCCTCACACCCCGCCCCGCCTGGCAGGAAAGCGGCGGCCGACGTTACGAGGCGTCAGGGTGGCGTTTCCCGGAGGGAACCAGCCATTTCGTTCCAGGGAGGGGCGGGAGGGTCTCATCCCAAGTGCAGAAGGTCACTGCTCAGCCGCATGTGGCAGGGAGGCCCGGAGGCTCTGTCCCCAGAGTCCTTGGCAGCCGCAGAAGACGTCCAGGGCCTACGATTTCGAAAAATGTGGACGGGACGTCAGTGGTGGCATTTTCACTAATCCTGGTCCAGTCCGATAAGCGATCTGCTCGGAGACATCTGGGCTGTTTCGAGGCGTAGCTTTCGAATGTGGAAGCTGAGGAGGGAAATGGCCTCCGTCCAGGTGTCCTTGTCCCCAGAAGCACTCCACAGCACGCTCGGCCACTCTGTAACGAGGGCAGAGCAGCAGGTGGCTCCAAGTGTGCCCCTCCTGAAAGCACTGACGGGGTCCCCATCGGGGCCGTGGTGTCGTGTTTTGGAGTTTGGGGGCGCAGCTCCCTTTCCAGCACACACTGGAGCCTTTTCACAAAGCACTTCGCCCCCAGCCCAGCCTTGATGGATGAGGCTCAGGAAATCAGCGTTTGGACCTGCCTGTTGCAGGCAAGGTTGTACCTGGAGCAGGTGGAAGGGTTCTTCCGGGAAGAGGCGGGGGGAGGAGGTGAGGCCAAGGCCCAGGGCGGGGTCCGAGCGCCCCTGAGTTCCCACTCCACGTGCCTTCCTAGCAAACCCATTTGTCTGATTCCCAGTCTGGTCCGGTTCAGAAGGGGTTACAGCGAAGGTGACAAAGGTGACGACATTGACATTGAAAGAAGCTGCAGAGCTGTTTTGGGCGGGGGCCCTGGTCCAGGAAGGCCGCCAGCCCTGCTCTGGGGGTGCTGGAAGCTTGTGCGGGGGGCCTGTGGAGCAGGACCCTGGAGGCAGACCAGCCTGCTCTGAAGAATGGTATAGAAAGTCCCACTCAGGGCGATCAGAGCTGTGGGGTGTCTGGAGGAAGGTGCATTGCATTCTGGGCTGACCCTTCACCCCTCCAAGCCACCCACCGCTCACTTCCCGGGGACGGGTCTGGGAGCACGGGGTGGGCAAGACGTGGGGGAGGGATTGAGTGTGAGCCAAGCCCTGGACAGAAGCAGGGACGGAGGCCTCTGAGCATCAGAGCCAGGAGGTCTGTGTCCCCTGGGTGACAAGCAGGCCTCAGAGACTCTGACCTGCCCCAGTGCCACACATCGCACGAGAGGCTGGGCAGGGCGCCCCGGAGCCCCCCACAGAACTGGGGGGCCTCACCACAGGCCTGCCTTGGCCTTTTCCAGGGATCGCCGTGTGCAACATCCCGTCGGCCGCAGTGGAGGAGACGGCCGACTCCACCGTCTGCCACATCCTCAACCTGTACCGGCGGACCACGTGGCTATACCAGGCCCTGCGGGAAGGCACGCGGGTGCAGAGCGTCGAGCAGATCCGGGAGGTTGCCTCAGGCGCAGCCCGCATCCGCGGGGAGACCCTGGGCCTCATCGGCTTCGGTATGTGAGGGCGCTCTGCCCATCCCCCTGCCCAGGGCTGGCTCAGGGACCCCACGGGAGAGGGAGGCCCGGCCCTCCCCTGGGAGTGGAGGCTCGCTGAAGGAGAGGACCCATGTCCCCACCCCGCTCCCCACTGTACGGAGTGGGAGATCAGGGGTCAAGGCTGACCAGGGCGCCCACCAGAGGGGAGGTGCGGGCTGCTCCTGGAAGGACGGGTCTGGTGTGGCCAGCTAGAGGAGGCCCAGCGAGACACTCAGGTGTTGGGCAGCAGGCTTGGAGCTCCAGTGGGGGCTGGTAGTCAAGCGGAAACCTGGGGTGGCCGCAGGGGTCACTGAAGGGTTTCGAGGCAGAAGGTGGCATGGTCAGGTCACCAGCTTGGAAAGCTCATTTGAGAGAGGGCGCAGGAAAAGGTCGCCTGGCATCAGCTGGTCAAGGCGAGACACCTTGATCAGGCTGGTGGCCCTGGGAGGGCCTGGGGCAGGTTCCAGGGGAAGGCAACGCCACAGGGGTTGACTGCACAGGCTCGACTGGGGCTCCCCTGTGTGCATAGTCAGGGGCCTTGCTTGGCAGCGCTGAAGCTCAGCCCCGCCACTTAGCGGCTCTGTGGCTTGAGGAATCTACTTGATCTCTCTGCCCTCGGCCTTTTCCTGAGGGGCGAATGGGGAATGGAGGGATGCACCGCGGCCGTGTCTTAGGACTCAGGGCACGAGAAACACGGGTGAGTCGTAAGTGCGGGGCCTGGCTTGCAGGCGGCTCCCTGAGCTGACACGCAGCCTGAGGGTCAGGACCTCTGCGGTGGCCTGGGTGACATCTTCCCGTCTCCGGGTCTGCGTTAAGAGCCCAGGCGTCAGGGGTGCTCACGCTCAGGAAGCCTTGCTGTGCTTTTCTTGAGTGGGCACTACGAGGTGTCGGGAGGGAGCGAGGACGTGCCGTGAGGGCGGCAGCGCCCTCTGCTGGTGCCCTGCGGGTTTCCCGTGGCTCTGGAAAGTGGCCCTCGCAGATGGTTCTTAGACCCTCTGTGTCCTTCGGCCTCTGCAGGGCCGGCGAGTGGGCTCCCGGCCAGAGACGGAGCTTCAGGTGCTAAGTGGCCCAGCCCCGCGGTGGTGGCCTCGGTGGTAGAACACTTATTCCCATGGCTTCTGACTAGCTGTCACAGCAAGTTAAGGGGACGTTTCTTTGGCTGTGCCCTTTGCCATCCATTTTCCGGAGATGCCTTCAGCACACTGAGGCCAGTCCCAGGGTCCCCGCTCTGTTTACTTGAGGCCGTAAACCAAGCACTGCCACGGTCCCGGTTGCCCGTACTCACTGGTAGTGGTGTCTCCACAGCCCTCCAGAACCGGGACAGGGAGGGACAGGGTCGTAGGCCACCCGATCCCTGCCGCTGCCACCGTAGGGGCCTGGGCAGGGTCCTAGGCTTGACCCCAGCTTGGGCCAGTGGTGGGACAGCCTGCAGGTTGGGACCACGTACAGAAATCTGAAGGGAAAGCCAGTGGTAACAGTATTTTCTTTAAAGGCCAAGACAGCCGTATTCCCCTTCTGCAAGGCTGGGTTTTGATGGAGTAAGTAACAGAATTACGTCAGGAAAACCTGGGGACTAACGTAGAAGCCAGTGCACAGCTTAGGGTATGTGCGTTAGTGACAAGCAAAGCCACTGGGAAATAACGCCCAGGCAGTCAGCACTTTTGTGTTGAAATCTGGGCTTGAGGTTCTCGAGCCCCTGGAGCCGCAGCCGGGAAGCCCCATCTGGCTGTAAGGTGTGTTAGGACGGGGAGTGAGGAGGGCCACGAAATCGCCGGGCAGGGGCTCGCCCCAGGCCCGCACTTCACCTGCGTCACGGGGGGTGTTTACTGCTGCCGCCCCTCCCGCGGCCCCGGCACCGTTGCCACCTGCTCATCCGCCCTCCAGTGGGGTGCGAGGCTGTAGTTCCCGGTTTGCTGCGTCCAAGTGGCGACATTCGAGAGGGGTGACGTGAAGGATGATGATTAGCCTGCAGCTGTCCCTCTTGATCAGAATGTCCTCATGAGACCTTTGCGTCCAAACCACAGTAGTCTCAGCCGTGCCCAGTTAGATCCCAGCTCCGCAGGAGGGGGACAGGCCAGCACGTCACCCTCCCTGGACTTCCTGTTTGGGGAGGTCCGTCTCCCCTTGTTCCTCCCTCCCTCCCTCCCTGCACATTTGAGCAGTGGTTTTAGATGAAGATTTACTCTGTGCTCTTCACAAATAAACCCATTCAAGCATCAAACTCTTTTGTTTTCAAGCTGAAAACTGCTGTGAGAGGCTCTGGGAGTCAGTGGGTCTGTGCGAATGATGTGACCACCTGGGAATCAGGGGGACCTTCGCGTCCTGTTAGGTGGCATCGGTCTCTAACTTGCCGGAGGCCCAAGGCCAGAGACGAGGGTGAGGGTTCATCAGTGGGTCAGGGCCCGGCCCGCACACCCGAGGATTCGGATGTCTCCACCCCGCAACCTAAACACTGTCCCATGCCAGTTTGTGCTCAGGCCAGACTTGTGGGGGCCCGTGTGATCATTTTACTCCGTCCCTCTGCAAACCCGTGGGTAATTAGGCTGGAGAGCATTCCATCAGACACTGAGAGCAGAAAAGAAATGACGCTCAGGGCAAGAAGCCTGCTGTGCAAACAAAAAAAAAATCGGCGGGAGAATTCAAACGGAGAACATTGGGGATGGCCAGAGCTGGGAGGGGCGCGTGGCATTCACTAGGATGTTCTTGCTAGCTGTTTTTATGTTTGAAAATGTACCTAACAGGAACGTAAAAACCACACACCTCTGGTGGCCAGTACAGGTGACAGCAACTGCACCCTCACCCGGGAAGCTTGGCCCCAGTGAGACCTGGAGAGAAATGCTGGTCCTCAGGCGTCACCAAGCTTTGGGGGCACCGTCCCTCCGGCAGCAGCCTCCGACTGGCCCACCTGCCAGCGGGGACTGCACGCACAGGCCCCAGGTCCCAGCAGTCACGCGGGAGGAGGGGCCGAGGACCCGCTCACCTGGACGCTGTCTTTCTGCACAGGTCGCACAGGGCAGGCTGTCGCTGTTCGAGCCAAGGCCTTTGGATTCAGCGTCATCTTTTATGACCCCTACTTGCAGGATGGGACAGAGCGGTCCCTGGGCGTGCAGAGGGTCTACACCCTGCAGGACTTACTGTATCAGAGCGACTGCGTCTCCCTGCACTGTAACCTCAACGAGCACAACCACCACCTCATCAATGACTTTACCATAAAGCAGGTAACCGGAGCAGACGTCCTCGGGCCCCGGCAGCATCTGTCAGGACCAGAGGGGATGGGAGCCGTCCGCGGACACCAGTGAGCAGGGAGCAAAGCCCCGAGGCACCGGGCGAGGTGCCGGGCGGGGCCCCCTCCACGGGCTGGCAGGCTGGCCCTGCGGAACGGGGGACAGGAGCTGGCCCCAGGACCGAGCAGAAGCCTGTCCTCAGCAGGCCTGGCCTCCATGAAGCAACAGACATGTTACAGGTCACAGCTCCAACCTTCCCACCTTGTGTCCATCTCAGAATTAGCGGAACAGTTTCCGCTAATTGGGCCTCCAGCTGTGCCCAAGACTCCGCTCCCGGCCCCCGCGGCCCGTGCACCTCCCGCTTTGGCCGCCCCCGGCTGACCCGCTCTGCTTTCCTCCGCAGATGAGGCAGGGTGCCTTCCTGGTGAACGCAGCCCGCGGCGGGCTGGTGGACGAGAAGGCCTTAGCCCAGGCTCTCAAGGAAGGCAGGATACGAGGGGCGGCCCTCGACGTGCACGAATCGGAGCCTTTCAGGTGGGTCTGGGGTGTGGCCGAGGTGCCCGGAGCCCGGGCTTGTGGGTGACACCTGTCCCACACCCTCGGGCACTTTCCCAGGCAGACAGGTCGGTCCTAGGGAGGAAACTGGACACCCAGCCTCCATCCTTCTAAGGACTGTGCACCATGTCCTAACTGTGAAAAGGCCAGAAGGTCCCCAAAGGTGACCAGGAAAAGGAGAGACAGGAAAGTGGCATATGGCGGGCTCGGTCTGCAGGCCTCGGCTGTCCTGGAGCTGGCGGAGCTGGCGGTTGTACTGGGAGATGGCCAGGCCTCGCAGGGCTAACTGTCCCTTCCTTCTGGCTCCTGATTACTCGACACTAATTAAAAGTTTTGATAAGAAAGTTCATAAATTCCCAGCCCTTAGGACACCTGCCACGAAACACCCGTCCTGTCCGCGTAGCAGGGTCAGCGGGCCGAGCTCGGGGTGAGTGGGCCGGGATGCTGTGCTTTCAGATTTTCACACATGCTGTGTTCTGTGCGTTTATCTAGCTTTGCTCAGGGTCCCTTGAAAGATGCACCGAATCTCATCTGTACACCCCACACAGCCTGGTATAGTGAACAAGCCTCACTAGAGATGAGAGAGGCCGCAGCCACCGAGATCCGACGGGCAATCACAGGTGAGCCCCTCCCCCACCCCGCCCCCCAATGCAGCCACCGCGCCTGACCGTGCTGACGGCCCACAGAAGGGGCTGGGGGCCCTCCGTGGGCAGAAATCATTCTTCAGGCTGATGGAATTTCGAATGTTGGGCCCCGAACTGAACGTCGGGAAACCACTCCCTTTGACGTCAGCTGCTGTGAGTGCTGCGCACCGGGCAGCGGACCCCACAGCGGGGCTCCCTTCTGTTCTGGGCCCTGGAGCCCTTCACGCTGTGTGAAAATCAAAGGGCCACCCCTCTCATCCCAGAGTCCAAGGCTTTCCTGTTAGGTTTCCGCAGGGACAGACGTGGTGGGTCGTTGCCCCCAGCAGCAGCAACGAAGTGCGTTGAACTCGCTGTCGCCTTGAAACCCACACGCTTAGCTGTGATTGTCTTATTCCAGGTCGCATCCCCGAAAGCTTAAGAAACTGCGTGAACAAAGAATTCTTCGTCACGACAGCTCCCTGGTCGGTAATGGACCAGCAAGCGATTCATCCGGAGCTCAACGGCGCCACATACAGGTGAGGCGGGGCACAGACCCGGGCAGGCCAGGCCACCTGCGCGCTGAAGAAGACGGCCCCAGCAGGAACCCTGGCCACTGTCCCTGTGTGGGAAGTCCGCGGGCTGACCCCACCTCGGGGAAGCAGCCTGGACCAAGCGGGGTGCATCGCCCGAAGGGCCTGAGCACTTTGGGGGGAACTGCCAAGCCAGAGTTTTTAGGGGAGACCGATTTTGTTTTCCAATTCGAACCTTACGTGAAAGGCCGGTGCACTCCGCTAGGTGGAGCGCCCCTGCAGTTTCCCGGTGATTCGCAAAGTTTGACTGGGGTAGGAGGTGACCAAGAGTTATGGGGTGTGACCGAGGCCTTGCCGGGGACGCGAGCCGGGGAGCGGGGGGTTTCATGTGCAGTCACTGACTGTGGTTCCCTTCCCCCGCTGGGTCTCCAGATGTTGCCTGAGATCCTGCTGCAAACCACTACTCGAACCGGTTGGGGGCGGGGGGAGGGGGCATTAAATATGGTTTGTGTAATGGGGACCAACCCAGACCTGAGGGACGCTGCGCCGCCGCTCGAACTGGCTTCGTTTACCTGTCGGTTCCCTGTTCTGTTGCGGTCTCAGCGGGTTCTGACCCTTCCTAGCGGATTCTAGTATCGCTGCGTGAGCCCATCACAGCACCAGGGTCTCCTGTTCGTTACTGGTGGCGGCCTACCCTTTAAGGGGGCTCCGTCTTAATTCTGGTAGACGAAAGCTTACAGGGGTGCCCTGTCCCTCAGTCGTCCTAGAGAATCCCTTGGGATTTCTGCCCAGTGTAACACTGACAGGCCATGTGGTGGGGAGGGGGGGGCGCGGTGATCCCAGGAAAAGACAACATTCCCTGTACCCCAAGTGTAAAGGGTTTGGTAACGGTAATTCTAAAGCACCTGCCTCATAAGTGTGTGTATCCTACTAAGAATAGTCACCTTTGTGCATAAGTACCATGTATTCTAGAGGTAGCTCAGTGCCCCGTGTCCTCAGACACCCTGCAGCTGTCCTCAGGAGGGCAGGCACCAATTCCATGGCCAGCTCACACGTCCCCACTGCTCTGTGCCCTCGCATCTCAGGCCAGCGGGGCTAACCGGCCGAGGAAGCCACCTTTGGCATCCAAGCCCTCCATGCTGTCATTGGAGCTGGTACTTCCTGAAGCGACTGGCAAACTTGCCCCTTCCATACAGAGGTTTTCCAAATGCAGAATTAACACGCGCTGTTCGTCTGTCCAAAAGCTGCAGTCAGCAGCAGCCCAGTGTTTCCATTGGACTGAGTAGGTTTTGTTATTTGTGGATTAGATGTCAGCATTTCAGATTTTTTACGCAGGTTTCTCCTTTGCTTTGGGGAGGGGAAGGATGACAAACTACCCCATAGGAAAAGCCAGTAGCGGCAGCTTCCTGCCCTGGACTCACCTGGCCCCTGCTCTCTGCTCCGCAGGTACCCGCCAGGCATCGTGGGTGTGGCCCCGGGAGGACTTCCTGCCGCCATGGAAGGGATCATCCCCGGAGGCATCCCGGTGACTCACAACCTCCCCACGGTGGCTCACCCGTCCCAAGCTCCCTCTCCCAACCAGCCCACAAAACACGGGGACAATCGAGAGCACCCCAACGAGCAATAGCAGAGAATGACAAAAGGTCATCATTCGGATAAACCTGGGACCAAGAGACAGTGAAAACTAGATGAACTAAGAGGAAAAGAGTTTGACAGTTTTTTAACTGATTCTGGACATATGCATCATTGACGCTGCAGTGTGAAAGCTACAAAGGAGCTAGAAGCTGAGACGTGGGGAAACGAAAAACGCCGTCTGCTCACGGAAGCGTGGAAAGGCTGGGACGTGATTTATTAACGACCAACTTCTGTTATTGTGTGTTAAGTTTTTTCATCTGTGCATCAAATCACAAAGAATAAATAGATCTTTTTCCTTTATCAGTCCCTTGGGCACAGCAGGTCCTGAACACCTTGCTCTAGAATGTTGCATCGAGAGTTCCAAACATCAAAATAAAAACTATTAAGAGGAAATCCCCATCCTGTGACTAGTCCCTTCGGTCCACGGGGGCTGGTTACCTCTTTTACTAATAGGAAGAGTCAGTCGCTACAAAGCAGGGAGGAAACTGTTAGTCCAGAGCGGCCTCCCGTCTGAACTGCGCACTGAGCAGCCAAGTTGGTTGAGTGCAGTGATACCGTATCTCTGATGATGCAAAAAAAAAAAAAAAAAGTATTAAGTTTCACAAGCTGTTTGTACTCAAATATATTTTCTCAGTTCAGATCCTCAGCTATTTTATTGAGTGGAAAGTCTTGAACTGAAAGCGTTCAAGAAGAATAATGTTGCATTTCCTTATGTCTCAGGAAATACTTTTTATGGTAACTTGTCAGATTGTCTATGAACAAACCCACTTTTTTAGACATTGATAAAAGTCTTCTTTTCTTCACGTGATATTTTATACAAGAACACTTCAGGTGTGTTATTAGATGTGACTGATTTTAACAAATCCTATTAGATTTGTATCAACTAGTTACATGTTATATTCATAGTCTTTTGTGAATCATCGCCTTTTTGTTTAAAAGATGGCCTATTTTGAGCCTTTGTATAGGTACATTCCTGTTTTTGTGACAAAAAAAAAAAAAAAAACCTTAAACTGTCCCAAACAGAAAAATAATGGCTATCAGAAATATGTTTTGTTTTAGTGTGAGTTACCGTTACTGTATTTGTTTATTGTAAAGGTGGACATTTAGCGTTCAGTGCAGTTTTCAATAAAAAGTAATAAAAATTTGTTAAGTTCTGAAATTCAAGTACATCTCACCACTGTAAACGTTTTCTACTTGAGATGTTTAAAGGCAACTGCATTTTCAATTAGCCGATTTTCAACTCTTGTTATATATACCAGGGTTCAAAGATTAACAATACTTTTCTCTCTGCCTAATCTGTAACCAGATGCAAGAATGCTGACGATTACCTCATGTGATAGTTTAATTGAAAAACCAAAATCTCACGTAAGTCCATCATTATTAAATCATACCATTCTGAAGATGAAATAGTGGGTTAGAACTAAGTCAATTCAAGAAACAAATGGTCACGTTTTAGAGTTTTAATTTTCTTAAAAGCAAAATTACCTGGCTCAAGCATTAATGCAGGAAAGGAGGTAAATCTCAAAATCTTTTTTAATGGTATTTACAAAGAAATGTTGCAAAATAATTAACATCAGCCATTTCCATATGCTCAGAACTTTAAGTCAATTTTATGGCTCTTTTTAAATAGCATTAAACCCCATTGTACTAGTGGTATCTGCAAGTATCAAGTCCAGCAATCCAAGTACCACACTCCCTTTGACCCCTTCCTCTCCCATTAAAAAAGATAAAGTTATGGCATCTTAAAGCATCAACCTCCTCACCCATTTTAAAGTAGTGGTCCCACCCCAACTCCCTCATGAGATAACGCGTTAAAACCACCTCACGTGGATAGAGGTGGAGCCCATGGTTACTGACCTATCCTTCCAGGAGCAGAGCGGTGGTCAACGTCACCTTCATAACCACCTGTTGAACAGGCACTCAAGGAGGGGACGACACATGCACAGAAAGGGGACCCCAGCCACCTATGAACAGCGGTATTCTCCATCAGTCTGGGACACAATGAGCCTAAGAATCAAAAGCAAAACGACAGGTCCAGGCCCACGCTGCACCTGGGTTTAACGGGAACAGAAACCACCACACTGTCTGCATCCTCCCTAGAAAAGGAACCATAAAGTTAGGGCCACACAGTTATGGCATCACCGCCCAGTCAACCAAGAGACACGCCTGTCACCCAGCCACATAGAACCTTGAGAAAACTGCATACTCCATCTTAGGACAATAAATATGGCTGTTTAATAGTTCAAGAGCTTAACATAGCACTGTTTCACCCAGAACGTTGGCCTTCATCAGCCGCTCTCCTGTGAAGACCGCTTGGAGCCCAGGAAACGCAGTCGCCTGCGGTTCTCCCCCTGGGAGGAATGCTGTACCCGTTAAACTAGATGCGCTCAGGGTCGCTGGTCATAAATAAATAAATAAATAGGCACCTCGGGAGAAACGCCACTCGGGCGACAATGCAGGAAGCCGAGTCCTGAGCCTGTGATTCCCGACCGCGCTGACTGCAGTGTAGACCGCACCGACATCCAGTCGTGGATGCTTCTCCCTCAAACGCCGCCTTGGCATCCTCGACTGGGCGGGGAGCCTCTGCCCGCCGGAAGGCTGGGCTGCTCCCGCGCGTGGAGAGGCGTCTAGGGAGACGCTGAGCTCAGAAGTCGAACGGCGGCCGCTCAAACACTGAATCACTGCCCAAGATGAAAGTGAACCACAGAAAGTCAATTTGAAAGAAAATATTAAGCACTGGAAACTAACGTTTACAATTACTCTAATGTATCGAAATTCATTTGTAGGGAATCATCGCAGACATTTTCCTGCAAGTGCTGGCATGCAGCAAGTGATCCCTTCCAACGAGCATTCATGGGGGAGAAGGCGCTAACGACAGGCCACCTCCTGGGTATGTTTCTGTCTTTAGTATTCCGGCATCAAATTGAAGGTTGTGCACACTTCAATACCATCTGAACAGAACTCAGAAGAAAACAAGAAGCAAATATTTAAAGGTTTCACAGCCTTTTCATCAGAAGGAAAAGGGGGGGTGTGTGTGGCTTCCTTACAAATTCCTTGCCACATCGATAGTCTACAAAGTGCTTATCAGGACACTGCGTCTTCGTGCTCCTGAGAGGTCTGAAATCTTTACCCATATTGAATGTACACCTGAAGCGGTCAAACAACACTTCTCATAAAAAGTTGTTCTACCTAAGATTATAGTTTTAACTTTAAATAAGAATGGCCACAATTAACCAACATGCAAAAATTCTCAGACTATTCACTGAGAAATTCATTAATACAATGCATTTACCACCTTACTGCATTTTAAAATCTTTATTCTGTACTGAACTGATATTCCCAATTAGCCAAAGCAAAGGCATGCCTTTCTAACACGATTCGCGTCAAGCAGAGTTGATGCTAAAAGACAGAATCCCAAGGCCCTCTGCGTGGCGAGCTGGGACGACCACACTGCCAGGCGGGTGAGCGAACGTCACGATGCCTTCGGTCACGCGTGGGCCTGCCCCCCGAGCGCTTCCCTGACCGTCCAGGGAAGAACGGCTGGGAGACCACTGCCCAGCGTCCGGCGGGAGGACCGCGGCGAGGGCATCCGAACAGGCGGAGCGCCTCAGCGCCGACGGGGGAGCAGGCCCGAAACTTAAAGACAGAAGAGCAGAAACCAAACGAGGGAGCAGAGTCCAAATGCAGCCCGCTCGGTAAAAAATCCTGACTTTCCTTGCAGTTTGTTCCTTAAAGATTTGGTTTTATTGGGCACAACAGGAACTAAATTATTAATAAAATAAAAGCTTGTTTTTATTTTTGTTTTGCTGTGGACAATTTGTACAAAAAGTTTCCAAATCTCTAAGGAGTTCTGGTGAGACTTAACGTAAAATGGAGCTTTTAAGATGGAAGTAGAATGCAAGGTTCTACTTTAAAAAAAAGAATATCTCAAAGGAACAAAGAGTCATCTGCCTGAGCCTCTGGAGGTGCCCGTGCTGGAAAAAACTCAGTAACATAAAGATGCTGGTACGTTTCCTATTACACAACTTCTTACACAACCACATGCGTTACATTTATAGACAGATTTACGATTTGAAAGGAAAAAAAGTTTTCTGTCTTAATAAAATTAGTTTTTTTTTGTTTTTTTTTTTTTTTTTACAAACTGTAGTCCAAACGAGGCTCTCTGTGTCCGCACTCGGCAGATGTGTCGTCCCCACTGGGTGTGGGTCAGAAAAACCCTTCTGAGCAGGTCCTGCCAGGTTTGGTTTGTCCCAGGCCATGCACGATGCTTGGAACACACTAACTTCGGGGTCACCACGGAGCCAACACTTCGGTCTTCTGCTCCTTGATTTTCTTCATTCATCTTCATCATCTTCATCTTCCTCTCCATCAGACAGGGATGTACACGGCCGGATCTGTCGGTAGCGGTCAAGCCACTTGTCTACCATTTGCGTGACCAGGGGGTGACCTCGCCGCCGGGAGCTCTTCTGCATGGCGACGAGGGCGCCGCCCTCGGTCACGCAGCAGTCCAGCCACTCCCTGAGCAGTCGCTCTCGCTGCTCCTCGTTACCTAGCTTTAGAGGGACACGGAGAGAACGGAGAGCAGACCGGTTAACCGGAAACGCGTAACAGAACCGCCTGCCGGTGTGACACCTAGAGAAGGCCAAAGCCACGAACGTTTACCATGGTTCCAACCTCGCACCACATTAATGATCGAAACCGTTCCCTATGCTTAAGTAGAAAAAGACATCAGTGGGGAACTCCGCACAGAACCCCAGAGGGAAGAACCACCTAGCAATCACTTGTTTGATGAAGTAGCAAAAAGTAAATGTCTGAAACTGATCCTGGCAAAGAAAAGGCTAGAAAAAGACAGTCACAGCTTCAAACGCATGACAAGGTAAGTTTTCTCAGTAAATTATGTACGGGCTGAAGCTAAAAAATTATGGTGTATGAATTTTTTTGTTAATGTCACTATTATAAAAGTTTCATAATGACCAGTATATGAAATAAAAGACCGATACTTTTACAAGATCCCGAGTTCTCTGAGCGTTCTTTGGCCCATCCTTACCCCCTGCCAGCCTGGTCTGCACCCCCGGACCCACGACAGCCCGCTGCTGTCCTGCTGCCACCACTGCCCCAGCAGCCAGTCCCCACGGGAAGCCACTGGCCTCCCAGCTTCCCCAGAGCAAAGACCGAAGCTTGAACGGGCGCTGACCCACCCCACGCCTGGGCCGGACCCCCACCACAGCAGCCCTGCGCGTGCCTCCAGCAGGAGCGTGCTCCCGCCAGACCCCGTGGGACTCGATGCCTTTCATCTCGATTCCCGCGCCTCTCCCGCAGGGATCCATGCCTGCCCTCGCCGCCTCGGTTAAATGGCAAACCCCACGCCCCCGCATGCCTCTACCCGAGGTACTTTTTCTCCCCAGCACTCACCGCCACCTGAGGCGGGGACTTTCGTCTTCACTGCTACATCCTACGCTGCTGCTCTGAAAAGCCACATTTCAAACTCTGTCTGCCCAGTACTTAGAGAATAAATACTGTGACAATTACTACACCCAAATTCAAAATTTTAACTGGCAGTGCAGCTGACACATCCGTTGAAAGGTGCCCTGGGCTGGGTTCGGGCGTGGCGTGACCCCCTCGGTGGTTAACGGGACGCCCCTTACCTCCTGAGCAGAAAGAAAGTGCACGTGGAGTAGCTTCCTTTCGCTGTCAACCAGAGGCAGAAAAGTGATGGTGACGTCGTCATCGGTGTTCAGGTTAGCACCAGCACCTCGGTTGCCATAGCCATCATTTTCCATGGCAACCAAAGCAGAGAAGTGGCCCCTCGTATAGCCCAGAGCGATCGGACTTTTCCAGCAAAAACTCTGTTCCCACAACAAAGGCAAATACACACCTGGAAAGGGGGAAGGAAATCACAGTGGGATTTTCGGGGCGTGGCTGCAAACTGTATAATAATAGTAAGTAAACAAGAGACTTCTAAAACACTCTTGAAAATGGCTTACCTTGAAACCGAGTATATCCTAAAGTTTCTCCCCGGAAACTTTTATAATATTTTACTCCGTAAACTATAATTGGTCGTCTAAGAATATGTGCAAGTACAAAAATGTGTGTCTGTTCCAAACTTGCTCCGGGCTATACAGAACAAAATAAAAGAAAGCGGTTTCTCTTTACAACGTTTATCA